CTTTTCCATCAGCAGATGACCTCTGAATGCTTTGTTAACTGCTTTGCCAGTAAGCATATGCTGTACCACATTCTCACCATATATGGTGGCGAGTATCTCTTTCAAGCCACTGCCTTCCATCAGCTTTCCTATTGCTCCAAGAAGGTCCATGAGGTAGTGAAATCCACCCATCATGACAACTACATTATTCAGTTCTGGAGAGTTCAAAGTTATTTCTACCGCTTTCCAGTAGAGTGGCTGGTCAAATGTTACAACTGTGTCCTGGCCATATTTCCTCACAATGGTTGATACATAATGTATTGCTGAAAGTAAACACGATCGTCACCAGAATACAAGTCGATCATAGGCAGGAAGTGAATTTTAGAAACCCCGGAAACTTTTCCTGGTTGTGCACTGTTGCCATGATTCCTTGCCACATGGGCATTGGTCAATTAAACTTATAACTGAACTCCCCATAAAAGATCACATTTCAATTCAACTGCTTGTAGCTCTGGTAGCTCCTTGAATTTCTTCTCCAGATGTCTCTTCCCATAGCTATATTGGAAAATCGGTATCTTTGGGGTTGAACTGGGAGGGTTGTCTTTCACTGGTTTTCTATATACAGCCTGGTTTGTCGTCTTCTTGGCTAGTGTAGTTGCCGCAATTATTCCAAGACCGTGAAAACTTCCCTTCCTATCCAGTGTGTTGGTGTTATGGTCGACATTGTACTAGGTTAGCTAGGGCTAGGCTACTACATTTAATTAATACATATATTATGGGAAACTTACCTAATACTGCAAATGCTTTTATATTTTTTCTCAACATTCCCTCAATTTAACAACATGCTGTCACTTTTAAGCTACTGACCCCACCATATCGGAAGAAAAGCTTTTTAGAAAAAAGTTTGGAGCATGTCATGCTTGTTTGCCCAGTCTAATAATTTACTAAGCTGCTCTCTGATTGGTCCATAGTTGTATCAGAGTTATCTTGGATTCTCATCATTTCTGTGGTGCTTACAAGTGGCCATTAATTAATGGACTGATTTACTTTAAGAAAACCGGTTTTGAGAGGCTGTTGTTTTGCTCTAAAAATCAGTGAAGAATACTGTACATTTGTAAGCCTGAAGAATATAATTGTCTGTTGACACCCAAAACATACAGTACACCTCATTTTTATGTTTTGTGTAGACACTATTTTTTGTGCTTCTGGACCAAGTGGTTAAAGAGTAATGACCATCATATATTGTGTAAAGGTCAATGACCTTTGACCTTAAATATTTAGTCAATGCAGCAGATGGTGGCAAAAATACTTTTAAAAAAATTATCCCAAAAACGTAGATGTTGCCACTATTTTTGTCCATGTAGGCAAACTGGTTGAGGAGTTATGACCATCATAGTTGTATAAAGGTCAATAACCTTTGACCCTAAATATTTAGTCGACGCAGCTACTACTAGAAGGCCATATAAATGTTTCAATAAAAATTGTTGACCCCACAAAATCTAAGTGTAGACACAATTTTGGTGCATTGATATCCAGTAGTTGAGGATTTATGAACCGGAACATGCTATTTAAAGGCTATTCTGACCTTTGACCCTGAATATTTGGTCAGCGCAGCTACTAAAAGGCGTAAAAAATTTCCCATAATTGCTGCCCCAAAATACCTTGGTGTAGACACTACTTTTGTACTTTTAGAGCAAGTAGTTGAAGAGTTATGACATATAACATGCTGCATATAGATAATTGACCTTTGACCCTGAATATATTATAAACGCTACTATAAAAAAGTGGCAAAAATTTTTTTATGACTTTTCAAATATAGGCCTACAAGAATATGCAAACAGTCCTTTTATTAGAGTTTGTTTAAGGTTAAATAGGATTTTTGTCACATTTAGCCTGTACTAAAATACAAGATAGAGTTCTCGCGTTGTAAAAATGAGGCGGAAGTCGTGCCCAACGTAGGCGGCGACCTTCTTTTTAACCATGCAAGTTTCCTATACTTCGTGCCCAACGTACAGGGCGCCCTTCTGTTGCTAAGTATATCCAGACGCAAATGGCGCCCTTCCTTTTCCACTAATGGAGAAAAACTTTTTCACTAAGAGTGTGTCCGGCCAGCGATTTTTTTTTCCGTACGAAACATTTGCGTGAAACTTCACTCGGGCCATCTCGGATTGACTCGAGTGAGTACGATACGAGGAACAAGAGCAGACACTTCGCAATGTCGTGACGCTCGAGTTTTACTATTACATTGCTCTTTCTATGTTTACCTACGGTAGGCCTATGAAATTTCACGGACTTATGTGATGTATGTCCCTGTGTAACTAACTGTGACCTTCTTGGATGTTATTAAATGTTTAATAGTATATTATCTACAACAACAACAGCTAGTACCTCCTGTTATACAGTGTAGATAGGTACAGTTATACCAAAGGCTAGAGAGAAAGAGGATAAACTATAGGCCTAACTACAGGCTGAGGTCTTACCTAGGCCCCTCCTTAAACTAGGCCTAGGGTCAGGCTGACACAACAGTCACGCTTCACATACTGACATGGACTGAAATTTCAGGGGGGGAAATGGGACAAAATTGAAGCATGAAATGAAAAATAGAGCGCATAAGAGAAATATTATTAAATAAATAATATACCATTCCGGCGTTATTGAACTTGTCCAAACTATCATTGTAATGTAATTAATGCTAATAATAATAATAATAATAATAATAATAATTTCAGCATTAATTACCTTTGGCCTAAGCCTTGTAATGAAGAACCTACAGATACTGTACTATTTACTAGGCCTATAAATAATATTCGCCCAAGGGGAACTTTTGTGTTATTTCCCCTTAACGTCGTTTTTTTAATTGTTCTCTAATTCCTCCATTGTCTAAGTTCTCCTTAAAAAGTACAGGTAATAATAATAATAATTAATAATAATAATAATCATTTCAGCATTAATTACCTTGGCCTAAGGCTTGAAATGAAGAACCTACAGATACTATTTACTAGGCCATAAATAATAACTAGCCCAAGGGGAATATTTTTTATGTTATTTCCCCTTTGTCTAAGTTCCCTTTAACGTACAGGTAATAATAATAATAATAATATTATTATTATTATTATTATTATTATTATTATTATTATTATTATCATCATTTCGGCATGTAATTAACTTGGTCTAGCCTTGTAATCAAGAACCTGCCGATTACTATGCCTAATATTAATAACTAGCTTCTTTATTTTAATGATAATTGTGATTCAATGTTTAATCATGTTTACTATGTTGATTACATAATTCTATTCACATGAAGGTGAATTTTTGTTTTATGTTTCAGTAAATCGCTTTGTCAATAGTTCTGATATTGATAGTCGACATTAAAGACAATTCATTGACTGATTACGTTGGTGGCAGTGTTGTTTCATTTCCCGTCCTTATAGGTATTAACATGGTAACATCAATATATTTTTAAAAATCAGACAGCGACGTTCTCTCAGAAGTTGTTCTGTAGACGTTTATCTGTTGATGACCTTTTGACCTCCTGAATTCCGCAATGAGATTTTCGGGTCGATTCAGCCGAGACGGCCCGTGTGGCGTTTCATGTAAATGTTTCGTATGGAAAAAAAATCGCGTCCCGTTTTTCGTATTCCCACCATGCATTTCGGTGGAACACGGTGGAACATTTTTTTTGTGTGGAGAACTCTATCTTGTATTTCTAGTATCTTTGGTAAAAACTAGCACTGTGTTCCTTATTTAGTACGCAAGTCTAGGCCTAGGCAGCTGGATAGGACAGGTATTTTTGGTAGATTTTCAATTCGAGATGGGCTTCTTCTCAAGGTAAAGCCCATTGGGCTTCTGTCCAAGGGTTTATGGTATGTATGTAGTGGCACCAAAGATTCTCTGATAGTAACTTGTTTATTAGATAATTAAATTGGCCTTTTTTCGCAGGTAAAATTTAAAGAAAGAACGCATCATGTTAGCAGGAAGACATTTAGTCAACAGATACACGCCTACTGCCTCTATCAAGCTGAGATGTTGCGGATTTCGCTCTCCGTAGCTGTCTATGTCGTGGTGCTTTTTATTGGACTGATCATTGGTTTTTCTCTGGTGGCATCTTCTGGGAGGCAACGAAGACCATCCTCTGGGCAGAGCCTTCCGTCCTCTTCTCAAGCTCTCATCCTGAAAATGATGGTAAGGTAGAACTTTTTGAATAGAATTAAGTCTCCCTCCAATTAAAGACCAGCTAGTGTGGCCGGAGTTTTCCATGGTCTTTAGTAGCTTTAAATAAATAAACATAAATGGCACTGATTTGTTAATTTGGGATTTGTTTAATTGGAGGTGATCTTTACTTTGAGTGGTCTTTAATTAGAATGAGACCTGTATTCAAAAAATTGTCTAGTAATATTAATCAATAGGACCGACTAAGTTTTTGATATTGAAGTTAAGGGTTCTTATCAAAGTACAAGCTCATTGTCAGGTTCGAGAAAAATGTGTGAACGTAAGACTGTAGTGTTAGTCAGGGGCGTAGTGCCTTTCTCTGGAGCCATATTTGCTCTAGACAAATGCTGTTTAGAAAACATCTTGTGGCGGCATTCTATAAAGATAATTTTACTAGTCAGGCACTACAATATCTTTTGCAGGTCTGATCATTAAGTCTTGGTTTTACTGAAGAAATTTTATTATTTGTTGATTATGTTCATTATTTCAAAGTACAATAATATAATTATACTATTTTAATACTATCAATACTAAGATAAAGATTGTATAATTATTAGGCAAATATTATTAATTATTATACATTTTCTTGCTTTAGGAAATGCGAACAAGAAAGAAGAAGCGAAAACGAAGGGGCGTGGTGATATCCAGAGCCATGGATAAAGCCATCAAAGAAGGTACAGTATATTATATAGTCAATTAATCAATCAATCAATCTATCAATCTACTTATGATATGCATAATACAATTATCAATTGATGCAATAATTACCATATTCATTTGATTTCCCAATGAATTTGATTTGATTAAATTTTATATTCTATGTTGATTTGATTTGATATTATTGATTTTGTTATTTAATTTTATTTGCCATTAATTTGGATTTTTTATAACCATTATTTAAGATTTTTTTTTTCTTTGATTTTGAATTCCCCCTCAGAGAGCAAAGTTAAGTGTATGTTATGATGATTGCATAAAATTATAAAAATACCGTAAAATCTCGAATTGAAGCCCTGGGCTTCTTTTCTTTCTTTTTTTTTGCGAACTTTGGATGGGCTTTTTTTGAGATGGGCCTCTTTTCGAGATGGGCCTCTTTTAGAGACTACTTTTGCAAAGTAAAGAGGGGGTGGGGTGGCTTCTTTTCAAAAAGAATGCTGTAAATTTTGTGAATTTGTACTATAAAACAATAAATAAGGCCACTGTAACATCAATCTGTACCTGGTGTGAATTTAACTGGCATTAAATCAACTAAACTACTGTATAAACTGAGCTTGTATTCAATTTATTTTGTTTTTTGAAATTCATATATAGTGTATGTACTGTACTGTCTCGAAAAGAAGCTCATGATATTTTGAAAAGAAGCCCAGATGGGCTTCTTTTCAAGGTTAATTTTGCAAACTAAAGAGGGGGCTTCAATTCGAGATGGCTTCATCACGCGATTAAGCCCACTGGGCTTCAATTCAAGGTTTTACGGTATGGGAACTGAAGCTGCATATTGCTGCCTCTGTTTGTGGATGTTGGTGCAATTGAAATACATACACAAGAAAAATTAATTCAAAATGTTAATTTATTGATTACTCTACATGACTTGATTGTAATTCTATTATTTTTTTTTTATATCACAGTGTTTGATTTAGTTGTTCAAGATTTTATTATGGTCTGGTACAGAGACCTTGGCAAGGATTATACCACATTCATATCTGCTCTGGAGTAAGTTAATATTTTTAAATGTTTAGTCTACCAAAACTTTGGTCCATATTCCTTGAAGCAGGCAAGATGACCAACAGATAACTAGTGATGGCCATGAGATGGGGTAAATTCTTGGGTCACAGTAGCAGGTGCAGAGTTAGGGTCAGAATTTATGGCTATTAAAACTCTTCCCCTTTGGATTTAAGTCAATCTCTATAAAAACCACATAATTTTCTATATACCACTATATATTTTTTTTTTGATTATTATACTGTGTAAGTATTCAAATAGTTTTTATCTGGTTTGCTTATTATAATTGTTGATAACATAGACAAAAGCTTACAGTAAGTTTACATCAAATTGTGCTTGGTTTATTATGGATTAAACAGTTCTACAATTATTATACATAATGTGGTTTCGGTTTTTTTCATTTTAAAAATTTATTCTGCAATTTTTGCAGAATAAATGTTATAGTTTTTCATTACAACCTTACAAATCACAGACACATCTTCAAACTATTTATTCAGTTATTTATCATTTTCTATAATATTTCAGAGACGATATGTGGGAGCTGATTACCAACTTGGTTATAAGGTTACAGAAAGTGGATATGGTAAGTTTCAGTAAGTTTTGGCCAATCGTAGAGCCTCACCTCCAAGATGAAGGCGAAGAACCACGTCTGTTGGCAAATTATTGCTAGGCCCTCACAAAAAAGACCTTAAACCAAACATACATTATTGGGTGTATTAGTAGCAACTGTATGTTCACTAAACCGTAAAGGCTTGTGGGTCTCTGGATCAATTTCACTGCTATCCTTTTTTTTCAGCTTGAGTAATTACTTGCAATTAACCATTTATTCCTGTAACCATGTTTATGGGAAAGGGTGTTTCCAAGAATAGGGAAGAAACAATGGCATTTTATGGAGTATCAGAAAAGTGACCAATCAAAGTATGTTATTCAATAGGCGTGGCCAGAATACATGCATTTCTTAGAAGAACGCATGTTTATGTTTACGACCGCACACTCGGCCATGTTTCTCCACAAGTGGCTGTAATTTTGTGGGACCTTAGTAATGGTATCCAAGGTGGGGGGGTGGAGCGTAGTGGAACAGTCCATTTTCTCAAGTGTGAGTAGTACAATGTCTATTGGTACATATTCATACAGAGTTGGTATACAACAAAAGTATTGATCATACTAAGCTGATTTCATTCATCTAGGTGCGGTTCATGGCCCTGGATGTTACTGAAAAATTATGTGATCACTTCAGGGAACTTCGGGAGACATCACCAAGGTAACTGTACACTTTAACAGCCAATCATAAGAATGGAAAGGCCAGTAGTTTTATATTTTTAACAAGCAAGTGATTAATATTTGGCTCACCCAAAATTATGCTTGTATGTGTTCCAACTTTCTATTAAAAAAATGCACATTTTAAAAATTGTTATTGCAGTACTGAAGGTGGAGGGAAACTACAACCTTTCCAGTTGCATCCCTGTTTAAAAAGTGACGTTGCAGAGACAGAATTCCTACGGGAAGCAACTGAAGTTTTACTTGTTCTATTGTTGCCGGAGAGGATAGCCAGCTCCGAGACTGCACGTCATGTCATACGTGAAATAGTGACATGTTCAGGTGAGTTAACCATATGGTGTAAACTAAGGTAGAATTACTGGGTTTTAATCGAAAGCAGGTAAATTGGGTTTACACATGCTAGTTAACCAGGTGGACTGAACTACAGGCAGGTAGGCAGAGCAGCTCAGGTTATATAACCTAGTTTATTGAAATTGGTGATTTTATATATTAGGGACTTTTAGATTTACACGTCGACATAGTGGACTGCTACGTGATGAGGTCATTTTAAGGCACTGCGCATGCGTTACGTCGTCTCCCTCGTCCACTACCAAAATCGAGAATGTGTTCACCTCGTTTTTCCCGTCGTCCTAAATCTAGGACGCCGTGCTCGCTTGTGAAGTTTAAAGATGGAAGATGAAAATATAGTGGCAACGCTGCCGTCCAACTGAGGCAGAGACAGAGTCTGGGTGAAGTTTCTAACTTGTGTTGAATTAATCTGTATTATTTGCTTTTTAATGCACAGGCAGTTATGTAATTTCTACAGCCTTCGTAAACACAAAAAAGGCTGTGGAAGTTCATGAGCGTGCTTACGCCAGTGTGCATGCAATGCAAACTTGCACCGCAGCGAGCGCAGCCGGCCAGGGAGGCCTGTTAACTATCTGCATCATCGCAGTTGATGCACCGGATGTTCTCTGAAGTATGCATTACATTCATCATTGTTGTACTTGTCTAGATCAAATTTCTGATAATCTCGGTACCTGAATTCGGCATTTTTGGGTTTATTTGTATTGTATAAAAACATGAATTCCTCATTGTCCAACAGCTGCTTAATAAGGTTGCCTAGCGCGCGCTACATGTCGACTGAAATCTAAAAGGTTTTCATTTGTAGTCAACAGGTATAGTTGACTACGTTGACACGCATGACTAGTCGACGTGAACCAGGTCCACGTCCACACAATCTAAAAGTCCCTATTAGTTAACAAGGTGAACTGAACTACATTTAGGTAGGTAGAGCAGCTCAGGTTATATAACCTGGTTTATTGAAATTGATCTACACACATTATGTCATTGTCACTGTCGTGGTTGGTCATTTGTCTGTTACCACGATAACGAAAGTTTTTGGCAAGTCTGATAGGTTTCAAACTTGGCAGAATCCAAGATGGCAATAAGAAGACAGAGCCTGTTGTTTATTTGGTACATGTGTGAATATGCTAATTGCTCATTTGCATAATTAATAATTCACTAATCAGGAAATTTACGCTACATACTATCATAATTCCCAAAGAAAATTTCTAATTTGTTGGAAATTGTAATATTTTTTCATGTTGTTGTCATTGTCGCTGTTGTAGTAAATTGTTTGTTACCACAATAATTAAAGTTTGGTAAGTCTGATTGTTTTCAAACTCATACTTACCGATTCTCAAGAGAAACATCACTCCGTGAGAGTCTTACGCGTTTACTGCGCAGCGTAAAAGGAAAATTTCTAGTTCAAATACAGGTAATCAGCACATATTACTTAACCAAGTGAATGATGTGTGTTAACCTGGTTAACTTATATGTAGTTGATGTTGCATGGGTTAATTAACTAGGTTAACTGAACAGTGCAAGTGAGTTAACCTGGTTAACTTATATGTAGTTGATGTTGCATGGGTTAATTAACTAGGTTAACTGAACAGTGCAAGTGAGTTAACCTGGTTAACTTATATGTAGTTGATGTTGCATGGGTTAATTAACTAGGTTAACTGAACAGTGCAAGTGAGTTAACCTGGTTAACTTATATGTAGTTGATGTTGCATGGGTTAATTAACTAGGTTAACTGAACAGTGCAAGTGAGTTAACCTGGTTAACTTATATGTAGTTGATGTTGCATGGGTTAATTAACTAGGTTAACTGAACAGTGCAAGTGAGTTAACCTGGTTAACTTATATGTAGTTGATGTTGCATGGGTTAATTAACTAGGTTAACTGAACAGTGCAAGTGAGTTAACCTGGTTAACTTATATGTAGTTGATGTTGCATGGGTTAATTAACTAGGTTAACTGAACAGTGCAAGTGAGTTAACCTGGTTAACTTATATGTAGTTGATGTTGCATGGGTTAATTAACTAGGTTAACTGAACAGTGCAAGTGAGTTAACCTGGTAATTCTACATATTGTAGGCCTAATCCTACCGCCCGTTTAAATGCAATCACGATCGCATCGTGACTTTACTACTGACAAGTACACTGTACATGTGTGGGAAATCCCTAATAGATCATTCTGTGCATGCGCATGGACATGGACATGCATGTTTTGAGGCAGCCTGTGATGATACGATCGTAGCTTTTACGAAAGTGATATTTCATATGCCAAAGATAACGATAAAATGAACGCTAAAACGAAATTTATTTGGCAATTTTCTTATCTAAAACATATGTATTATACTACGCTATTAAATTAATACAACTACAGTACGACCATTCTTTCACCAGCAATATATTGATTTAATAGAGAAATTAACAAAATCACAATCTGTAGATGACGATGCAAGTAAGGTCGAGCGTTCGGAAAAATCATAGTTTATACTATAGGCCTAGGTAGTAAAAAATTGCCGAGGCTGCCGACCTCGGAGAATTTAAGGTCGGCAAATTTTTGCCGACCTAATTTTTTCATAATTTTGTGGGCTGAATAAATTATTCAAAATTGTCAATGTATTGAAATTTTAAGCAGTTTAATAGCTGTCATGACACCCAAGAACTTTAACAAATCAGGTTCCTTATTTATAATTGATGCATATATTTATGAATTAATTATTAAAAATAGTCAATGTAATATTATGTAGGGTATGTTCATTTGATGTTTGATTTATTTCCATTTTGTCATTGGCATTTCTTGCCCTGATATGCGGTCATTGCATTTCTTCACTTTTTTCTTTTCCAGTCTTTCATTTTTCAATGATTATTAAGATATAGATATTTGAATATAACATTTTCTAAATCATATCAAAGTAACAAAAAAGTTAAAGTTATTCCTCTCTAATTATAAAAATAATAATGATAAAAATGAGAAAAATAATAATTAAAATCTTATAGTAATGATTAATTGATTGATTGACTAATAATTGATGATTTCTTCATTTTTAGGTGTCACATTTTAACTGAAATTATGCAAGCAACCAACATTCAAAATATGAAGAAGGCAAAGGGATTAGAAGTAAGAACAAAGACATCAAAGGGAGCTGGTAAAGGAGAGCTGTTGAAGGCACGTAATCTGAAAAGGTACCTCAACCAGGTAAGTTTTAGATGGGCTCGAGGGAGGAGGGACAAAGCCCTGGGTCCCTAGTAAATATTATAATACACAATATCCTTCTAAAAGAAGACACCAAAAAACCAGCAAAAAATATATAATTTCTGGTTTTTAACTCATGAATGTAATGTGCTACTAAAATTCACAGAGAATTTGAGTAATATAACAGGCTATGACATTTTGTGACTACTTTCTTCTTTTTTTTTTAGGCACACAATACATGTGCCGAGGATTGCCAATAGCGAATATATCACTGTCCTACTTGTAGGTGACAATCCCTTACACAAGACAAACATACACACACGATGCTTTACACAAACTAAATCTC